ACTTTTACGTTATCCCCCTGTGGCACCCCCCCTCCCCGTTTTTTGGATTTTGGTATTTTTTTTTGGGGGGAGGGGGTCCTTTTGTCCATTTTGGGGGCGCCCAATGTGATTAATTGTATTTCCCAGAGCCGGTGGTTTCAGCCCTTGTGGGGTCTTGTGGCCCGCCCCCCCAGGACCAGGGGGCCCTGGCCCCCCCCCCCCCCCCTCTCGCCCGAAAACAGAAGAAACATGTCACCAATACCCCATACACGCAAACACGCCTCCGGTGATACCGCCGTGTGGTTCATGCGCTCCTACCGTTTAGAACGTGTGCCCCCCGCCCCCGCCCCCTTCCCTGCACATTTCGACGTGTCGACGTTGCAAATGCTGCCATCAGTGCAATAGGCTTCCTTGGAGAGTCGCGACTAAGGCATGCATAACATGAGTACGCTTACCCCTCACCCCAAGCGACTCGCCGAATATCTCACGGCGCTTCGCGCTTGGTGATGTGCTAGCCTGGTGCGGTGAGAAGCCGGCGTGCTCCGTCCCGGCATTGTAGGGATGCGAGGTCAATGGTCTAACGGCTACGGCATGCGCGACTGTATGAGTACACACACACGCACGCCCTCGTCCGAAACCAAAACGATCGCGTCACCGTACCCCCCCCCCCCCCTTCGCAAACGCCTCCTACGGCCATGGGTTCATGTTCTTCTGCCCTGCAGAACGTGCGCCCTCCCCGCATCTTTCGACGTGTTGACGTTCCAAATGCTGGCGTCGGTGGTGTTCCCGGGCTTCACGATCAACCGTTGGGTGGCCTTCGTAGAGTACCTGCTTCAAGCCTCCGACCTGGAGTCGCAGGTGAGCGCTGATTGGTCACGACTGCCGCTGCTGGTGCAACTGCGATTCCGGTGTGCGAAGCCCCGTGCTACATGATCGTTGGGAACGGGCGTCGAAGACTTGGGGGGTGGACTGAACGGGGGCGGGGGCGGTAGTGGTTGCGTTTGTGGAAATTGTTGGTTCTGGTTCAGGTTTGCTGCTGCTGCTGCTGCTGCTGCTGCTGCTGCGTTTCTTGCCTATTGGGTCGTTTCGTTTCCATCACGAGTGGTCTTGGTCGGTCCCCGGTGTCGAGGACAAAAGGGAAAGGACTACTACTCGCAAGACCTATTTTTCCCAATTCCGCATTTTTTTGGTTGATACACATGCATTCACGGTCTTGATAGGTTGGTGCTTGCTTCGAAAATCCTCGCTCGGTGGGTGGGGGTTTTCTTTCCCTTTTTTTAGTGAGTGTTGCGTTTATTTTAAGAATAGCTTTCATATGCGGCGAAAAGTGCTGCTGTGTTTCGCGTGCCCCCGCCGGACTTGTTCGGAGGGATTTCCATGACCTAACGCGCAGAACCGATAGCCTTCCTTCAAAAGTGCCGTAACACGTACGCGGCGCCTCTACTTTGTAGTGTATTTCCAGGTCGCCCCCCCCCCCCCCCCCCCCCCCCGCCCGCCCGCCGGGTTGAGACCGGTTCTGCATGCCGCACTTTTGCCACGACCACCATGGGAGCTGACACTTCACACTTTCAGGCAAGACCCCACACCGACATTTCTAAGGATCGATTTCCAAAGCTCTATCGATGCCATCCACAGCACAAGAGGGTGTCTGCGCCGAGAAAGAGGCGGAGGCTTTCGCAACTGCCATCTTTTTCTGAGGAGGCGTGCATAGCTCTGAACTTCTGTCACGCTGCCCATGCGGGGCAGCCAACATCTAAAAAAACCGGCTTGGGTATGCAGGAGGCGCGCAGTTTTCACGAGTTTGATGTCGTACGGTAGGGCGAGCGGAAATAGCGTCCAGAAGAGTGCTTGACGTTCTTGCTACAAAGTCTCCTCCATCAAACATACGGCGAACAGAAGTCAAATGATTGTGTATGGGTCGTTGCAAGTGAAACGCCACCCATTCCTTGTCCTCAATCGTCGAATTTGAGCATTGGGTTCGACAGCCCCTTTTCAGACCACCTGCCTCTCCGAATGTATCATATCGTCACAGAGAGACTACCATTCGAGATGACACCACAGCAGCCGAAGGGAATGCGCAGAAAACTTCGTCTTAGTGGTAAGACGGCCACGAAACGGATGGGTGTCTCGAGTGGTTGGATTTCGTCTATCCATGTAGAAAATATACCACATTCCAGAAATGGTACTATTTCGAGACCCCTCCCAGGCATTGGTCTGGTCTCTGCCGTGTCAGGACTTAAACCGTTAGGATGTGTCATATGTTCACACCTACTGTACCGTGTGTACTTCGAAGTGCCATGCGTGTGGGAAAAGCTTGTGAGCACGAAAATTCGTTTTTTTAACTCGAAGCCACAGCTGCAGCGCCGACTACATGTAGGGTTCAGTAGCGGACACCGGTCCGAACGTTGCTCTACTGGGAGGACAACACCACCTATATTGTGACTGCTGCAGTATCGAGTAGGGTGTTGAGCCTTCTCTCGCCTTATGTATGCTTCCAAGAAGTCGATGCTACAAGCAATAGATCGGGGGATGCGAGATCGTTCAGCGGCGGTGTGACCTGTAGGGAACGGAACCCACTTATTTTCAACTCGGTCCAAGTGCCGGTGCCTCATAGTGCCGCCGGCATGTCGGACTCGGAGGTGGTGGTGCGGGAAACTTCACCACCCCTCGGCTGATGTACATCAACGGTTACAGAACACGAATGATGGATACAACTGCTGTGAACAACGTCAGCGAAGAAAAGAGAGCGAGAGAGGGCGATCAAGAAAGGAGAAGCTTCCTAAAACCAACACCACCACCACTTAACACGAATTACGAACCTTCAATTCTTCACGAGGGCTGTTTCCTTACTGAGTGAGTCTGCGAGGGAAGCCGACACCGATAACATATTTGTACACGCTTCTACAATGGGAACCGCTTCGTTTGTCTTTTGGACTAATATCAATTTCCCGAATCCTATTATTAATAGAAGATCAGAACGGCGTGCGACTGCTGTTGCGCGTCTGTTTTGGTTCAAAATGTTCCGGGGAAATGGAACTTTGAAATTTAAGTGCACGCAACAACACATCGACAGATGGACAAGAAAACATCCATCGTTCGTGCGATCCCCGACTACGTGTACATGAAAAAATGCTCAGTCACTACTTGGAAAAAAAGGGCAAGCGTGGCGCCCCGGATGATGTGGTGCACTCGTACTCGACCTGGCAAACAATTGTAACTTGAAGGGAAAACCAGAAGAATTTCCACGCCTGTCGCTTGCTGCCAACAAAGGTCAAGACGAACGGAGACACAGACGCCATATATTTTATTTTGTTCGCGGCGGCACGTGCTGTTTTACGTGGCGTGGTGGTGATTGCTTACACATTGTGCATTTTCCACCCCGCATCTTTTCATGTCACCAGAGAAAAGCTGAGCTACGTAGCATACGTAGCCGTCTGCCCGATACACACACGCCCCAGGCGCACGCCCTTCGATTGCGTCAACTGTCAACTGGCCTACTGTCAGGGGATACAGGAACGAAAAATTGATTCTTCGAAACCAGCAGCAGCAGCAGCAGCAGCAGCAGCAGCAGCAGCTGATTGCGCACCACCCGCGTTGATATTTGAAATTGAAAATCAAAATTGCTCCCTCCCGGCGGCCATCGCATCCCCGCCTCGTACCTTGTTTCGATGCCCTGCGTTCGCCCCCCCTTGCTTCACCAGCCATTCTACCACCTCCAGACTGCCGCCGGTGCTCGCCCAAAGCAGCGCTGTAGAGCCCTGTTTTCTCGGAAAAATCATCACATCCAAACGCAGTCGCCAACAGTCAACAGCAGGGCGGCGAAAAAAAAGTGGTTCGCTGCAATTTATGTGTTCCCCGGTGCCTTTGTGTGTGTTCACGCATTTGCAGCTGTTCATTTGCATAGAACGCCGTACAGGCGGCTGCTGAAAACTTTCCAAGGCAGCGAGCCGGTCATGGCTTCTGCCTTGTAGAGGTAGGAAAGGTGGTGGGTAGAAAGAACGAGCGGTCTGATCGGGCGAGAGACATGTAAGCAAGAAGCGATCATGGCCGACCGTTCCCGGCGGAAAGGACGACTATACAAAAATCAAGACATTTGTTGTTAGCCCCACCAGCAGCAGCAGGTAGTGTGCGATCATTCGAAATCGAAAAACCAAGCCACGCCGCAGGAGAGACGGTGAGCTGGAAGCCTTCTCTAGCTGGGTCTCAAGGGAAACAGGCCAACTTGCTGCTCTTGCCGTGGTTAACAGCATGGCGGTGTCCCACAGCAGCGGTGTGGGAAGGGAGAGATTCGAAAAGGAGAACAACTGCTGTGGCCGAAAACAAAAAGTTGGATCCCTCCCATCTGCTCCTGCTGTCTGCACTATGTCATCATCAAATCCCGTACATACCTTGTTTGGGTCAGCAACGTCCGCAGAGAGCGCGTTGTTTTTCAGCGTGGACTTCACGTCCGCCAGGTTTCCGCTGTAAGCCGCCAGGAACAGCCCTGCCAACACGGACTCATCGGAGCACTTCGTGGCCATCTTCTTCTCTACCCAGTATCACAAGAGAGAGGAGGACTGCTCGTGAACAACTCTTCCCGCGCGCCTTTCCCTTCCCAGGAGACACACACAAACTCTGCTGCAGTCAGCAAGCAGTCCAACACGAGCCGCGGGAAACAAGCACCCCTCTCCCGGAAACTTATCCCAACAAAGAGCTCCTTGGTCTCCTGACCAAACGTAGCTTCTTGCACGGAGAAGGGCACAGAGATGAGACAGCGACGGCCGTTCTTCACGGGAACAAACGTTCGCTACTATCTGTTCTTGATGAACACACGCGGCAGCAAACCCACACGGTCAGAAATCAGCAGGCGGTAGATCAGGCAGGGGCTCGAAAGCCAGACGCCCCCCCCCACCGGAGATCCGTAAAATAATTGACCTACCCCCTTTGCGAGAACTATGAATGCCATGCGCGTGCCCCCCTGTCAGCCATCCGGTGGGCGAGGGGTTCTCACACTTGCACGAGCACGCACGCTCCCACAAGGGTGAGTGGAAGGATTGCTACGCGTTGCAGCTGCCAGGGAGGGCTGCTTTGCTTGTGCTAGGCGATTGTTGGCTTGGAAATGCGTTAGCTTCAAACTTGGGGCGTGATCGTGTGGCTTTGCTCGTAGTTTTGAAAGCGTGAGCGAGCAAGGAACACAACCGTCTGCACTGCTGTCACAGCAGGCATGACCTGCTCTCCATGATGAAACACGAGCGGCAAAGACCACGTTGCCAAGGTAATTGCAGGTAGGCCTGTTTGCATGGGGTTAACGTTGTCTCATGCCAAACGCACGCCGATCTCTGACGCTGTCTTGTATGCTGTTTCAATTTTCAATTTGTCCCCACTCTGGTGCTCTTGCTTCCTCCGCCACCCATCCCAGCACACACCAGACGCACCATGTCCCACCGTAAGTTCGAGGCTCCCCGCAACGGATCCCTTGGGTTCCTCCCCAAGAAGCGCACGAAGAAGCACCGCGGACACATCCGGTCCTTCCCGAAGGATGATGCGGCGAAGGAGCCCCACCTTACGGCCTTCATGGCCTACAAGGTACGAGAGAGAGTATTTTTTTTCTTTTCCGGTGGTCCTTGTACACGCCAGCAGACTGAACCTGAGTTCGGTTGCTCCTGTATCTTCCTGGACAGCCCCATTTGTATTGACAAACGTTCGAGAAATGCAATGCCACACTTCACCTTTGCGGCAGCCCTCGAAATGCAGGAAGGAGAAGAGCACGATAGCAATCGTATTGCAGGCACCGGAGCCTCGTTTCGGTCAACCTAGGCACACTGCATATTGTAGTTTGAAATCCTGAATCCTGGCAAGACTAGCCTTTAGTTAAAACTGCAGTACGTGTTTTGCATGCATAAGAATCATCGAGGGACGAATACCGCGGTACAGCAGGATACCAGAATAATATATGCCGAATAATCGGTGATTGCAGCGTCAATACTGGGCATGCATACGGCGTATACGTCAGATGTTTTCCTGCGTAGGTAACTCGTACATATCAAAGTATCCATTGCTTCCGAAGGTTGCCGCTGATGAAACACGCGTCGGACAAGTGAGAAATATCGCGAACCCCCCCACCACCGACTCGGTTGCCACCGGCCCCAACCACTGCTGTGCCACACATGCGTGGGGCGTTAGTTGAACGGCCCGCCGCCCGCCCCCAAACCCTTTCATGTTTTCATATTTTCCTACTCCAACTCAACCACACGCTTCGGTGCGTGTCAACAACAGGCGGGCATGACCCACATCGCTCGCGAGGTGGACCGCCCTGGATCCAAGGTCCACAAGAAGGAGGTCGTAGAGGCGGTCACCATCCTCGAGACTCCCCCCATCGTTGTCGTGGGAGTCGTGGGCTACGTGGAGACCCCCAAGGGCCTCCGCACCCTCACCACCGTGTGGGCGGGCCACCTCTCGGACGAGTGCAAGAGGAGGTAAAAGGCGGGTGCTTCGTTGTAGCGTGTAGAGCGCAGGGGGGAAAAGGGAGACTGGTTTGTACTGACTTTGCTCCAAGTGGTAAACCGTTGACTGTGGGTCCCTGTACTTCAGTACTTGACGTTACCACGCTTTTGGGCGTCACACTGGCACTTGGGGGGACCTTTTTTTTTTTTTGAGATTAGGGAAGGAACCAGATTGCTTTTTTGGTCTGGCAGGCGAGAGCAACGATGAGCATTGGAGGCGGTTGGTCTGACTCGGGTGGTGGGTGCAGCGTTGCTTGTTTTGTGTCACGAGTGGCCGTGTGGGTGGGTGATATGTTCGCGGTTGCGTCCAAAGAGCGTCGACCAGGCTGAGAAAACATAGCTTCAAATGTAGATGCTTGCCACTTCATCTTGGAACTGATCAACCTCCTCTCTCCCCCCTCGCCGTCGACGATGACCGCGCGCGAAGGTTCTACAAGCACTGGTACACGTCCAAGAAGAAGGCGTTCACCCGGTACGCCAAGAAGTTCGCGGACGCCCCGCAGGAGATCGACGCTGAGCTCGGCCGCATCAAGCAGTACGCCCAGGTCGTGCGCGTCATCGCCCACACCCAGGTAGGAAGCGCGCGGTTCGTGATTGCAATACCCGCATGCGGTTTTGGTTCTGGACAAAGTTGACCTACATGCGGATTTCGTTGCACATCGTGCGCAGTCGTGAAGGTCGTCGTGGCAGTTGGAAACACCAAGCTGTACACCCAGGGCGTGCGCGTGATCCTGCTCACGCGCACGTGAGCCGTAAGACGAATCCAGAATGGTGTTTGTTGTAGTTTGGTCGTCGTCATCGCCGTTTTTCTGCTGTTGTTGCCACATTGCCATACGCAACCGATTCCAAACTTGGCCCTATCCCCTCGGCCTCTTCTGCTGCACAGGTCGGCCTTGTCAAGCTGAGGCAGAAGAAGGCGCACATCTGCGAGATCCAGGTGAACGGCGGCGACGTGGCCGCTAAGGTCGACTTCGCCCGCGGCCTGTTCGAGCAGAAGGTGCCCGTGGACGCCGTCTTCGCCAAGGTGCGTTACGAACACTTCGCTCCTCATTCGTTGGTAGAAGAAACCACAATTTGTGGTTAACGTATTTCTCGGCGCGGTCCGAATAATGTTTCACACTCGTTTGGTGTTGAATGGACGGTTGCAGAGTGTTACCGGAATCGGATCTCGCACTGTCATGTCTGGCAGATGTGTCACAACCAAAGCAGATATGTCTCTTGAGACACATGAAGCGATACGCTGGCCAAGTCACGAATTTTTCAGGCCCGCAAAAGCGAAGTAAGAGAGTAGGCTCTCAGTGCTGTGCGCACTCGCTTGTTAGTCGCTAGTGCTCAATAGGATTGGGTCGAAACTCGCGATGTCCTCGTGGGAACACAACACCCAAGCCCTTTAGGGGACCGGACAAAGTCGACATTGAAGGTGTTTTTCGTGGGTAGGGGCACAATGAAGCACGATTACGGTCAGGCGGGGGACAAAGCCCCTGGGACCGGTTGCCGGTAGTGCTCGTCACCTGACTACGCGTGGCGCTAAACGGTTATATAGATTTTGTTGGGTCGGGTTTTTGGAGTAGGAGTCATGGTGAAATCGTATTGGGCGATGTGTTTGCTCGGGGCTGGCCGCCAATCCGCATCTGTGGTGTTGGCGTTTCACTAGGAAGCCCTCGTTTGGCCAATGCATTTTTTTTGTTTGTGAGCCCAGGTGCGGATACGATTTTGTTGTGCAGGCAGCTTCACGGGGCGCGGCCCTTGTCGCCTACAGGGGTTGCGCCCTTTCGTGGTTCAGTCGAAAGCCTTCGGGTATAAAGCTGAACCGGTTGCCGAGATGGAAAATCACACCAGCTTTACACACTCACCGAGCCGGAGCTTCGGCGCGGATGTGCTTGGCCTTACACTGCTGGACATTTTGAAATCAACGGTCGCCCTTTGCGGCACCGTGCGTAGCACCCTGAGTTGGCCCTGTTGTGAATTGCTTGGTTTTCCTGTGCCGCTTCAGGGTGTTTCTGTTCGTGTTTGCGTTGGTCGAGCGTTGGCACTCCTCATCGAAGTTTTAACTCCTCTCAATGTTGGTGCTGTCATGGAACACACCCTTCCCAGCGGGAGGGATGCATACCTCATGTTCGAAGCGTTCCGTTTTTTCCCTTTGTCGCTCTTGCGCAGGACGAGTGCATCGACGTGCTGGGAGCCTCCAAGGGTCACGGTACCGAGGGTGTGGTGACTCGTTGGGGTGTGACCCGTCTTCCCCGCAAGACCCACCGCGGTCTCCGCAAGGTGGCCTGCATCGGCGCGTGGCACCCTGCCCGCGTCAGCTTCTCCGTCGCCCGCGCCGGTCAGCACGGATACCACCACCGTACCGAGGTGAGTTTTGTGCTTTTGATTTTGGCTATTCCGCCCCTCGTGTGGTGCTGTGCGCTCTTCTTGTCTGGAGTTGTAGAGAATGTGGTCCCCTTGAGATAGTAACTTTTTGGTAGACTCAAGCACCCGACTGTTCTCTCTCGATGCCTTGTGGCTGTTGTCGTGATTTTATGCATACTATGGTTGATGTAGCTCATTCATACTGTGGCACCGCGGTTTCTTGCTGTTTCGACATCTCTTATCTTGTAGCAAATTTGTCCGCGCCAGCTCGCGCATTTGTAACCGTCGCTGATGTATGCTCCTTCATGTCCTGTTTTTTTGTTGACAGCTCAACAAGAAGATCTACCGGATCGGAAAGAAGGGCGACGTCGCTTCGGCCTCCACGGAGGCTGACCTTACGGTCAAGCACATCACCCCTCTCGGTGGATTCCCTCACTACGGCGAGGTACGATCAGATCAGACCTTGTCCTTCATTTTCGTCCATCGATTGTCGCTGTACAGGTGCTTTCTTAACTGGTTTCAAGCAACGCATCTCATGAGATAAGATGATGTTTTCCTGGCATGGAGAGGTATCCGGGTGGGTCCTCATCAGATAATCAGCCTTAAATTAGTTAGTAGAACATTTTGAGTTTCGCTGCTTTCCATCCCCTTCGAATGTGTGGGCTTGAGTTTTTTGTTTTGCCTTTCCTTGGTGGCTACCCGGAATATGAAGGGTACGGTAGACGGAGTTGACACGACCAAGTGCAGTTTGTCCTTTCCACAGCACAGTCATCCATCCCGAGACATCCGAAAAACTTAGTGTAGGCAAGGAAACGTGATGAACTTTGGGGACAGTGGCGGTATCAGTCTGAGTCAGTCTGAGAGATGCGGAAGCTGCCTGTTGACAGTCACGCCCGATCTAATGAGTTCTATTGCCCTTCCTCAAAGCGTAGTTGTCGTGTTTTATTGAGTAATATAGTTTTAGTTCCCGGCAGGTTCACGGGGCGCGGCTCTTGTCCCCTACAGGTTTCGCGCCCTTTTTCGGCTCAGTCGAAAACCTTCGGGTGGAAAGCTGAAGCGGTTGCCCAGATGAAAAATCACACCAGCTTTACACACTCACCGAGCCGGAGCTTCGGCGCGGATGTGCTTGGCCTTACACTGCTGGACATTTTCGTTGTCACCTGTTGTTTATTGGGGCATGGGGCAGGGTAGCTTTGCGACTGTTTTCTTAGACATCCTTCCCCCTTTTTTTTTCGTGTTGGTGTCCTGTTTCGGTTGTCTCCTCATGTTGTCGAAGGGGGACCACCTCCTTTTCGTGGGTAGCATAAGACCCCCTAGCTGATGCTTCGAGAGAGCATCCCATCCCCTTGTTTCTTGACCACCAAACACGAAGCACTGGCATACCTATGCGTGCCAGAGGGAAGCTTGCGACGCACATTGTTTTCGTTGCCTTCGTTGCCTTCGGGCGAATTGTCGTGGTGACAAGGCTACCTCCTGGTGGTTCCCCCAAAGCTGAGCCCGGTTCCCGTGCTGTTATCGTTTTGGCAGATCAACGAGGACTGGCTGATGCTCAAGGGCTGCGTCATCGGGTGCAAGAAGCGCTGCATCACCCTGCGCAAGTCTCTCATGAGCCACTCCCGCCGCATCCACCTCGAGGTTGGTATTGTTTGGTCGATTTGTTTGTTTTCCTGTTGCGCACCACTCGACCTCTTCCATTCTCATGCGCCCATCGTTCAAGATCGGTTGGTACGTACGCATTTGCGTGTCTTTGCCTCACCAAGAGACAACGGGTGCAGAGCCGTTAGTAGTGCCCTGTGCCGTAGGTGGGTGTTGTTCAGGTGTATGTTTATTTTGTTTTCCAATACTTCGGTGTTGTTTTACTGGTTTGTTGTGTTGTTGAATGCTTGTTTCTCATTCTGTGTTGCGTATGCTTAAGCGATTTGGATAACCGCCTTTGCTCGAGCCACTCTGATACCGACGTGCGCAAATCCCTTGTTTTCCCCTCGATCCTCAGCAAGTGGAGCTCAAGTTCATCGACACCTCGTCGAAGTACGGCCACGGACGCTTCCAGACGAAGGAGGAGAAGGACAAGTTCCTGGGCCCTCTTGCGTCCAAGCTGCCCAAGGCTTAAGAGATCTCCACCTCGGCGTTCTCGCAAGCGCCGGCGGGTAAACCAGACCGGGGGGTTAATTCCTGTCTGGTTTTCCCCACTGGGAGTTTGGGTGGACACATGGGAGACAGGAGCACGACCTCACTCAGGGTGTTGCTTTTGTGGAGGCTTTTTCAGAACGCGTGTTTTGCCCGGCGGGGAAGGTTGTCTCTTGTGCGTGCGGCAACGTTTCTTCGTCTTCTGCTTTTATTGGGAGCAATCAAGTCGCTATTTCGTTGCACTCCCCTCCCCCCCGTCTTTTCGTTTCACGTGGCATGTCGCTGTCGGTTCTTCAGTTGATGTACAATAACTCGCTTCTTCGGAGGTGAATTTGGGTCGATTGATTTTCGGTCTTTAGCGTGAATCAGTGTCGCGTGTGCGTTGGGAAGGGGGGTATGGTTTTGTGTGCGGAGTGCGAAGAGGGGCTCGTGCAAGTTTTCCCTTGGTGGCTTTTGTCATCCAAGGGATTTTTCAATAAGCAAGCGGGGTACACTCATTTTTCTTCTCTCACAGCAACAGCTCGAGGATGTATCACACGGGTCGCACCACGCGAGGGTCATCTCGCGGGGCTGTTGCAGCTACGGCGTGTGTTTGGCGGACGGCTCGTTTTCGCCGGGCTTTGCCGTGGCCACGGCAGCACAATGCCCAACTTCAAGGGCGAAGCCTTCATGCCGGAGGTTGGCGCGTTCATCGCTCGTCCATCATCCACGGCCTGTACTCGTTCTCCACTTCACACATATGCAGCTCACTCTTCTCTCGTAGTTGTTTCTGGAGGCAGGACAGTGGTACAGACAAGTTCGATGATGCTCGTACTTTCACAACTACTGAAGCCGGAAGATATATATTATGCTGTGTCCCATCAGCTAGTCACGGTTCCGGTTCAAGACACCACCGAGGCACCACAACCGCAAACAGCCTATTAACCGTGGCCGGACACTCGTCTTCGTCCTACTTCATCTTCGATGTTGGTTACTCTTCCAAAGCTTGACATCTACTTGACCTGTAGACACAGTGATGCGTCCTACACGACCGTTCTGCACCTCGGATAATTTAACGTGAATTGAGTTGGTTGTTGCGTGGGACCACGGAATCTCGCTTTGTCATGGAGTGGAAAGTATCTTGTAGGGGAAAAAGGTCTTGGCGAAAGTGCAGGTTTGTTCGAGTGTCACTACAACGATCACGGCACACCAACAACAGCACGCGGTGAAGGGAGGTCGAACTGCATGCGAACTTCATATTCTACTGTTGTAGTCTATGAAGGACTATCCGTTGGGTGCTACTAGGAGCAGCTCCTACCTACACCACCAGCGACGTGGCGGAGGAAGACGGAGACGAGGGTACTTCAAAGAGTCGGACGATGACGACGAACCTCAATCCTTGACCAATCCAGCCCTAGACTAAAGTTCTGACCCTCACACCCTCGAAGCTTCTTCCTGTGGTGGGTCAGAGCTCGAGACTTCTAGGTGTTGCGTCAAGCACTAAGTAATTTCCGGGGTCTTCTTGATGAGCTACAAGGTGGACATACATGTTTCCAAAATATTTCACTCCGCGGACTCCCCAAGAGAGAGCGGGGGGGAGAGCCGGACATCCGGAGGGGACGTTCGCCAAGGACCTGCAGACACGCAAAGCTCAATGGACGCAGGACTAGATACCGTTGAGGAAGATGTCGAGCGCAATCGTGTGGGCAAGAACCCTTTCGATCAAAGGTTCACTGCTCTGGTAAGTGCACAAGAGAGGGAGAGAGAGAGTGAGTAGTAGTCTGGTGCGCTGTGCTGCCGTACAGTATTCTACTCCTAGCTTTGAGTGCGTTTGCCCTGGCTCTCTTTCTGCTGGCACGTGTGCATAGGGCTACACTGCCTTACTTCGTCATCGTTTGAACGTGTGAGGTAGGGTCGATGGCAAGAGGAGCGCTCCCACCAACACAACACGCAATCAGAACCGGCCGGTTTCAGTGCTGCTGCTGTGAGCGATAATTTTTTCCCTCAACTGAGTTTTGAACAGCAACAACGCCAAGGACACAAGTTTTCTTGCACTTGCGCCGCCATTCGACACTGCCGTGTATGAAACGAAGTTGGAAACGCGAGGTATTCAGAGATATCAGAGAAACTGTTGGAGTACGTGTGTTACGGATGCCACGGTTGGTGTGTGCTTGTTTGTTTGGCGGACATGGGTAGCGGAAGTTCTCGCTGCGTTGGATATGAATGGGACTCACGCCGCTTGAAAAGGTTGGCGCACACACGCCTGTTGTTGATCATCTTTCTTTGTAAGCCTGACTGGGAAGCAGCAGAATGAAGCAAGGCCCTATTTGTGGTACGTTGTATTGATCGCCCAGCTCGCAACCGGCAGCATATCGGCTTGTCTTGTCGGTTTCTGGCGTGCACACACCACGCCAACGCAAATCATTCACTCGTGTAAGTACCGAGAGACTACTCGTCCTCTCACCCAGAATGATCCAAGGCGACCCTCTCTGTCCCCACGCGTGGGTGCGATGATTTAAAACTACGCAGACGGAATCGCCCTTCACCGAGACGTCGACTTCAACAGGTCAAATTGGAAACGGCGGCCATGAGATTGAGACTATCTCTCGCCACATCATCGTCAGGTAACAAGTGCCTTGCCATGACCCGGTGGCGCGTCTCGAATAGTCATGGCCAGCTGTGAAACCCTCTGTTTGCTTTTGCTGCTGGTGATGCTGCTGCTGCCGCCCCTGCTGCTGCTGTCGCCGTTGCTGCTGCTGTGATTTATTCTGCAGTCCAGCTATGCATTCCATACTGCAGTAAGTAGTCTACACTATAGTCACCTTTTGCAGCTAACACCAACGTGGAGTCGTACCTCTTTCCTCTGCAAGTCCACATAGCTCAGGTAGGGTGCCTGATATGGAACGTTCACCACAGTTTTCGGGCATTTCACAGCTACCGCGGATGTAGTTTGGATCTATCTCTGCATTTCAAAGCGCGCGATTCATTCGCTGCTTGCTGCTCGTATGTCCCACTGGGGGGAGTCTCCACAAGTATACACTGCGGCCCTTGACCAATGGTCAGAGACCCGACAACAAATCGGCGCGGCACTCCCGGTCGCCGCAGGAGGTCTCACCACATACATTCACCTATCATTTCAGTCGATCGGCACTGAGAACCAATGAAATAGAGGGGCAATGTGAAGTTGGGAAGCAATAGTCTCAGGTGGCGTTGCGCGGACAATATTACATCCTATGTACAAGTTTTCTTGTCCATTCATCACACATGGCGCTGCTGGGTTCTTGCGAAGAAGGTTCTAGGCCGCGGGCGATTGGTTCGGCTGTACGCTTACTATGGACGAATGTTCTCAAGAATTCACAATCGCTTTACGGTGGGCTGCTTTTTGAAAAACTACTCCGTGACGTGCTCACCGCAGCACACGCACTTATATATTTATTCGAACGGATCGTTGTGAAAGCGAATCATTATTGGGCACCAGCTCTAGTACAGTATTAGGGTCTTTTTTGTGACAGTTTCATACCCAACGTATGTAGTACGAGAATGAAATAATTAGCGATGGACAACTTATCAACGTCCAACCATGATCGTTTCGTTTCAGGATGGAAGTGATCGCCAAACAGATCGCGTTTTTGTCGAAGGAGACCGCCGGGCAGCCACACAAGGTCCTAGCCGGAGGAGGTCGGGTTGGTGCTTCTTCTTCGTCTGCAACCTCCGCGGGCCGGCTGCAGCGGAACGTCAGCGTATGCGTACATCCATTAGCAGTTAACGTCTCCATGCCTATTACTCGCTTATTTTCTCTTGGGCCTGGTAGCGAGTGCCCGAACAAGGATGTGGGATAGAGATGAATTAAGAAAAATGTCTAGACGCTTCAGAACGGGCATGGTCTCCGTAAGCCGAAACAGGCTGCGAAAGTCCCGGTTAGATAGAGGGCTGCTGAACTGTACGATTTTCAACGTATCCAGGCTCATGACCTTCTGTAGTGAATTGAGGACAACAATACACACTCATCCAGGAAAATCATTTGCCCTTTCCCTTCCCGCCTTGTACTCTCTTGAGACTTTCCGAACCGAAGCACGCGCGCAAACGCGTTCCCTCCTACTTCTGGTCTCTATTCCGCGTCACACGGCAGGTCGAGGGTGCGGCAGAGAGGCCGTTGGACACAAGAGCCGGCAACGCCAAAATCGGTAGCAGATCAGGTTTTAACGACATCGGAACAGGCGTAGCAAGCGGTGATTCGTCCTCGCCGTTCGGGGCTCCGCTAGTGGCCAGGCTCGATCTCTACCGCAAGATTCGTCAGGGTCTGGCCACAGCCGAAGACCTCCTTCCGGCGGGCATGTTGTCGGCGGCGCCTTCAGGCATGGCGTCGTCCCGGCCAACGCCGCTACCGGCGACTGTGACGTCCCTGTCCAGCGACGGTCTCGCTTCATCCACAGGTGAATTCACTCTTCTCGGTGCTTTACTACAGGTGAATTCACTCTTCTCTGTGCTTCACTATAGGTGAATTCACTCTTGTTGGAGCTTCACTACAGGTGAATTCACTCTTGTTGGTTATTCACTACAGGCGAATTCACTCGTGTTGGTGCTATCCTGCAGGTGAATTCACTCTTCTCGGTGTTTCACTGCATGTGATTTCACTCTTGTTGAAGCATCACCGTGGTCGAGAGAGGGTGGTCATGCAGACAAGGCGCTGCTGTAGTGGGTATTGTTGTCGGCAAGGTTGCTGCCGCTCCTGCGAGAGTTGCCGCGAATTGTTGTACATTGCCTGACCCTGCTCTGACCTTGTGCTATCGTCTTTGTGGTGTGGCCGTAACTTGCGATCGTACGCGCATCAATCCTCTTCTCCAACATTTAGTCGGTAAAAACAACTGCAAGTGATACCCGCCAAGGAGGAGTGGAGCGGCAGCATATTGGCATACAGTGGGAGCATAGAAAGTGAGGGAGTTCACCACTACGTCAGCTCCACAACCTCGGGGCTGAAGATTCACTCCTCGCCCCCCGTAGTGCGCGTTCTTTGCCTACGCGCAACCCGAGAAGGTTGACGAGATATGAAAAAGAGGCTGTCTCTCACGTCAACCACGGCCCAAGCTAGTAGTTTGTTGAACAACTTCAGCCTCCGACGGCGTTTATTTTTTTCTTTATCACGACCCCGAGCCCCTCCAACCTCATGCGAATACCACCGCTGTGCGTTGCCCCCTATCACCGTTTTTTGCGGCACACCGACGGTGGAATGCATCGACCCTGGGCTTATCCGACAACGTTTTAGCCGGCTCAACAACAGCTCGAAACCAAGAGGACGCCATTCACGGTGGCAGCATCACCCTCGACGGTGATTGTGGCTCCCGAGACGACGGCACCCCCGGTAAATCATCGATTGCTGTGGTACCGAGTACCGAATAAATCAAGAGCGTATGTCGGCCGGGCCTCTTTCTCAAACTACCGACAGAACGAACGCCTTCAAACCACCCGAAAGAACACGGGTGTTTGCTGTATACGATAGCTATGAAGTAGCTCCCCGTTGTGGGACGGCCATCATTGCTGTAAAAGTTGTGAGCCAACGATCCGTACTGAGGGGGCCATCGCTCCAAACCAAATCAACCAAGCGACGAACATAGGGCTTTTGAAATACCGCCCTGACCTTCTGTGTCTCTTGTTGGGCGGCCGTTTCCACCATGCCCGCGGTTTCGTTCCGCTCTCGCGCTGACCCAAGCCCCGGGTATCCTTCATGGATTTATCAAGCACGTGAAGCCCTTCTCTGTCTGCTACGCGTCGGCTGCGCAAGCGAACGGGCCACCGAAGGAGAACGATGACGACATGCATAAGAACGCGAAGAGTGTGAGCACGTTTGTCGAGGACGAGGGCCACGGTGACGGCAACTCCAACGGCGGCGGCGACGGCAACTCCGACAACGGCAATGGTAGCGGGGTTGCGGCCAACTTCTGCTACTACGGGGATGATATGCCTTGCTCTCCGTATGAGGCTACCATCGGTCACGCAACGCCCACCTCATCAGCGGGACGCAGCCCTACCACAACGATGGCAGCGGCAGCAGCGGCAGCAACTGCAGGGGAAGGACTCACGCACACCAGGGCGGAAAAAGGCGGCGACAGCGGCGATGGCAGCAGGAGCTGCGAACAAGGAGAGGAGCAGGAAAGGCAACACGGAGCTCCACGAAAGCCTGCCTTGCCCCCTGCCGGAGGCGCCGAGGCTCTTCGCCGGGCTAAGGCGCGCCTCCAGGGAAAACGAAAGCTGTCATACCCCGGCTTCTCTTCTCCGATCCCCGAGAACCCCATCACGAGACTCGGTTACTGCGAACAGGCGGTAGGCAAGGACATTGCTGAAGGAGGTAGGTACCGGGATGGGGGACTTATGTCGGTGGAGGGGGTACGAGGTGGAGGAGGAGGAGGAGGGTCATCGGCGCTTCACAGTTCGCTTCGCGGCACTGATACATCAACGCCAAGCGCAGCTACAACGGTGGCTGCGGTGGCAAGGCTTAGGACTTCGAGCGGTGTTGCTGGGACGCGAGGAGTGGGAGGTTTTTCTCGACGTAAAAGAAACGGCAATGATAGCAACACCAACGACAGCAACAGCTGCAATAGCAACAACGGAGAAAGAAAGGGAGCGACCGGTAAGAAGAGACGGGGCGCGGTGGTCGGCGGAGTTCATGGTGGAAGAAACGGCGGCGGAGGTGGAGCTGAACCTGGTTGGTCGGTTCTTTCCTGGGGCTCAGCGAAGCAGCTGCGCAAGCAAATGGAGGCCGCAGCAACAGCAGCAGTGAGAGAGCCCGTCTAGTTTTCCCTCTAGTATCCGAATCCGGCTTGTGTAGGTTGACGAGCACGCGTAGCTTCCTTCTCTCTCTACTTGGCGTCTCGGTATACCTTTCTCTCGCAAGGGGAGACACTCCCACGATGCTTCGGCACACGAAGTTTTCGGTACTGCAAGAGAATGTGTGCGGTTCCCTGGTGAAGCCACATGGAGAGGTATTCACCCCTTTTCCCCTTTTGATCGTTCGTGCTGCGGCTCCAGTCCCGTAGGATGCCCAATCAGCGCATTGCCTAGCCTTAGTAGGTCCGCGGGGGGCTTCGTGTCGAGGTTCTGCGTAGACCGAAATCACACCATCAGGAAACACCTAACTCAGGGGAAAACGAACCTGTTCGAGTACTTTGCCGCGGTCAGAAAGCTCGTTGCCTTCTTGTCTACAAGGTTGACTGTTCTCCGTCCCAAAACCTCCTAGGGCAAGACTGCTTCCGAGGGAAAAGGAGGGAGACGCAGCAAAGGTCGGGGAGGAGGAGGAGGAGGAGCGGCCTCCAGCAAGAAAAATATCACTTTATCAGACCCGGTGACTGGATCAGGAGGGGGAGGGGCGGTCTCTTCCATTGGCCCCCTCGGCCTCGTACCGTGTTCGAACGCCCTCCGCCTGGAGTTTCCTCCTGCTGCGGAGGGGCTGGAGTGTTACCTAGTGTCACTCGCCAATCCATTCAGGGACCTGGCCGCAATGAAGGTGAGTACGGGGAGGCGTTCTCCGATCGTAGCTCTGATTGTCGTGGATGTGTCGGCCTAGGGTAAACTGTCGATGGCGCGAGGGAGGGAAGGCTTGCGTGCCCTGGTGCTGAAGCATGAGAGAGAAATGACGAGGGAAGAGGCAGGAAAATGCAGGAGAAACGACGCTCGATGGCAGGTGTTTCATGGTTGTTCACATATTCGTCGATAGGGGCTAACCACTTCGTTCCTTCCCGGTTCCGGATGGCGATGAAGTTGGGGGTGGAGCCCTTTGCGAAGGCCGCCAGGAGATGTTCTGCGCCTGGCTAGAAGTTCTGGGGTTGCACAACAGGCCGGGGTGAGGAGGGAGGGAGGGAGGGGAATGCACCCAACGGCAACGCACAGGATGTGAACAGGCGTCTCGTTGGGCAATCCTTAACCTACAGCCTTCTCCAGGCACCGGTGACCCATGCGATATGCCATGTGAAGGTCGTGCAACTCCTCGCCAGGAAGTGGTTAGTGTCCCGCGAGGAGATGTCTTGGCACTGGCAGTCACCTGCACTTGGTATAGCAGCATGCCCTTCCTCGCTTTCATGCGTCTTACACGGGTGTGGAATATTTTTTCTCGAATGCTCGTGTGCTGCGTTGCCCGTCGCAGAGCGCCTTCGAGGAAGAACCCCAGCTCTCCCCAGAAGTTTCGGGTGGAATGGTCCCCTTCCCGGAGGCATCACCACCTCTCTCCGCCTTGGGGGGAACGCCCCCGTCGGATGGGTTCGACTTTGTTCTCGGCCCGGACTTCCAAAATGAAACCGCCGTCGCCACCGCCGTCGTGGCGGCAGTCGACCACATCCACGAGGTTGGCGCGAACGTCAAGGCCGACGTTCCCAAGGGGAGTACACATCCGGTGGGTACACCGATGTTGTTGTTGTTGTTATTGTTGGATGGCAGGGGGAATAGTCAATGGCGTATTTGGTGCCATCTGTTATCAGGTGAGGTTGCTGCACCGCCCGTAGATTGCTGCTAGGTTTTTCATCTGGTCCATTGTTTCTTCGTGCTAACTCTGTGGCCACATAATTCGCCCCTTCTACTTTGTCATTCTTCAATAAGAGACGAAAGATGGACGGTAACAACTGCCTACCCTGCAATCAACGTTTACATCCTTCTTGCCAGGGTTCAGAAACGCCGAATCCGAACACTGCAGGGCCTCGTGGCGGCGCATTGCGTACAGTTACGGCGCAACAGGCACCGCCACCGCTTCCATCGCCCCCGGTGCGCCCGAGCGACGCGGCGGCGACTGCAAATGGGCTCAATCCAGGTACATACAAGAAGGTGGAAGCACAAGTGGACGTGCTTGCGTACGGTTCAATCCTTTCAACAATGACACGAATGTGCAGGGAGTACAAACACGCAAGTCCAGGTACAATGGGCGACGTTCTTTGGGATATCCGCGGTCGTCTTTCCCCAAGAGTATTTCTTTGTCGCCTCCGTGCTAGCTGGTTTCGTGGGGTATGTCTTGGAAGGAACATCAACCGCCGTTCGCTCATGCTGTTCTCGCGAAGTGAGCTAGTTCATCACCACGACGTTGCTCTCGAGTTTTAGAGCCAACGGGCCGATTCCGACGTATGCCAAGCTCTCGATCGCCGCATCATACAAATACAGCACAACGACGACGTTGAGGGTTGTCGAAGTGCCGTTCGTGAACAACAAGCGGCAGAAAAAAGCCGAAGCTCCTACACAAAGACCCTCCGCGTCAATACTCACGCCACACCCTACTTGCGCAGGCGGGACTTGCATGATTGACCTCAGGAACATTTGGCAGCGCACGGGGGCAGTCTCGCGGGCCATCTCGCAGGCGAGGAGTGGGCACACCAGTCCCTGGAATATCTCCACCTTAGCGGACCCGAATAGGCTCGAGGCGCCGTGAAGAAAGTGCTACAAGCGTTCCCCATAGGACTGTCTTCAGTAGCAGCACGCAAGGAGTTTTCCTAAGCTGAGCTTTTGTCCAAGACTGGAGTTGATTCGCCGAAGAGCTAGTTCCGCTCAAACGCGTTTTTTCCGGCGTATACTGTACCTGTTTTTTCGTTTTTTCCGTCGCCAGTTTTCATGTGCAATAAGCAGACTAACCTCATCCCGTTTCGTAGCACCTTCTCGGTAGATGACTAAGAGATTGATGTTTCTCGGAGTTGCGGGTGTTAGCGGGATATTTCATCGTGTGATCGATTGTCAATCATCACGTTACATCAACCAATCAATATCATTCATCAGGCGTCAGTGAAGCAAAGCAGCCTGGTCAAGGATCTGCGCGAGTCTCTCGTTCGGTTGGATCTGCAGCACCGCCAGAAACAAGAGCAGGAGGCACGCAGACAAATAGCTGAGCCGGTCGAACGCGGCAAGCCCCGTGCCGACGGAGGCGATGGCAAGGACGGTGGGCGTGGAAACCCCATCGACATCGAGACGTCCATGTCATTTAGGTCAGAAGTACGCGCCACCTCGTTCAGGCATGGCAGAACGTCATACGTAGGTGGTTCTCCTGTGAGCCCCTCAAAACCACGGTACGGAGTGTTTGTTCCTTGTTCCGACTTTCCTATGTGGGTTCACCCGTTCTATCGAAGATGCAGGGTGAAGAACAGGTGAAAAACGGTGGATCAACGGAGCGGGTAGCCTTCAGCGACGAAGAGTTCCCTCGCAACTGCAACCGTCACCAGTTTCGGGAAACAAATTCCATTCTTCTGCCACATCCCCGTTTTACGGAACACAGCATGACACATCCAAGCGCGCACAAGGGTCAAGGCATGACCTGAAAATGGAAACCCTACCTGGGAAAAGTTCGACAGGAAACACGAACGAAACTCCCAACACCTCGAAATCACGACGTTCTCACTCAACGTTCGGCAATAAAAACAATCCCTGCTTTTCGGTCATCACGGTCTTTTGCGCTCCGCTAGCCTCAAACACCCCCAGGAGGAACCGGATAGTGCAGCGGCGGTGGCGACGGCAGCGGGTGGGGGAGGAGGCGGTGCGGCCCGAAGGTTCGCTCTCGTGGTGTCCCTCGCCCATGTGCACAACATATCGGCTACGCCGGGGCGTGGTGTTGTTGGAGGTGGCCTTGTTGGTCGCGAAAGTACCGATGGTGAGGGCAACCTACCGTCCCAGCTGCGGGTACAGCTCGGCAGCGGAGGGAACGAGGCCATCGTGACGGCACGAAGGAAGGGACCGTCGATGAGTGTAATGAACGGTTCCTAGATCGGATCCCAGAATGGCCCCAATGAACGTGTGGTAGGTATCGTTTGACTAGGGGTTCCTTTCAGGTGGCTTGGGACAGCAGAGCGTAGAGTCAGGGAAGCTGGCGCTAAACAGATTCAAACAGCGTTCTCGGAAGAAGCTGAAACGAACGGTGTTTACCGGGCATGGTGTTAGGAGCACTCCCCAGAGCGAGAGGGTTGATAGTGGCAGTTCGGGAGCGAAGAGAGTTGCCTGAAGCCAGCAATGGAACATAAACGTATGAGAAGTTTCCCGGAAAAACTGGCCTGACTGGGCTGCAAGCAGTGCTCCCCGTTCGGGGTAGGAACCGTCTTGCCTCCCGCGTTTCTGTCGCTCTCGAAGTATCGAAAGCATTTAATCAACCTTCTCTCTGTCGGCCTCTGACGATGCTGCCGCACCCAAACATGACCAACTGATTGCTTCACATGGTGTGCCACTAATGAAAGTCCGCGGGGCAACTTTTGTTTTTTCTCAAACGATGCCGGTGACATCCACGTCTTTCGGCTGGCGAATCCTACCGCGCGACATGTCCATCATACACATATCATCCACGGAACCCCCGGAGGCCCCGTGGACAGTGTTCTGACGAGCACCATAAAGTGATCAGGCGACAGGCACGACCTATGCTCCCTACTTTGTCTTTTGTTCTTCAACCTGGACCCCACGAATACCTGTTGACACCTAAGATTACCCGACGATATCGCCCCACAGCCTCATTCGATGTTCCATCGATATGCTTCCTACAGCTCGGCCAGGTCTGTCGCCTATATCTTGAAGAATATCTGGCAAGAGTCTGTTTGGAAGCAACAGTTCCGAAACGTAGCATCACTTCTGAAGCTTTAGCTTCAGCTTCTCAGACCAATATCCATGTTTCATTCGACTCGCCCACCCCTTGCCCGACCCGGCCCGAAATGCTGATCTCGAGCTACAATGCAAATCTCGCGGAGTCTCGAGTATGGTTCGGTGGGGAATCGCAGATCATCAACCCTCCCCGAGTTTGACGAGCTTCCTCCTCCTGTGGCCGACAAGCGGTGGCCTTGTCCGTGTCGCCACCCGGACGGGGCGGTTGAACAGACAAAGAGGGTCCGTTCGGCGCATCCAGCTTCCCACCTTCTTGGTGGTTTGTATCCCTCAGGCTGCTGTTGTGATGCACCACAGCGGGCATCTCGGAGGTATTTTGTCTCTCTGTCTCTTCTAGGGTTGGACGCCCGTACGGTTCTCTAACGTGCAACAATCATCGTTGCTCTCGCACGACGTAGAACGATGTATGTATGCGTATGTCCGGCATATATTATATTTTAACCGCGCGGGCGGGCCTTTTTGTGTCTCTTCCTTAGTATACTCATCTTCCACGCGCGTTGTATTTTTTTGTGTATTCAATTATTTCAGTTGCTGCTTCGAGTTGAGCAGTGTGCATCCGGACCGCATGTGTCAACTTCCGCCACGATCGCTGCCCCTCCCTGCAGTACATGGTTCGGTGGTGTGCATTTGACTTGCTTCCCATTTTACATGTCGGCCGCCCAGTCCATGTACGTACGTCATCAAACGTTGGCAAGTTGGCTCTCTTTGTGGTGCAACTGTCCGTCCGTCCGTCACATCTATTTTTATTGTCGATGCTCTCGAACAAGAATAATATTGTTTTTGTCGGCGTGTGCCTTCGACCTAAATGCGAGAGAGCGGCACAAGCCACCAACTGATGCCTTCCATATCACACAGAGTGCAGTAAATTACGTCATGTCCATATGACGGAGGAAACGCGTACCACGGTGGTACGCCTTCGGCCTTCCATTCTCGTGTCCTCTCTCCTCTCTCCGTCCGTCCCCTTTCCGGCTCTTCTTGGGGGTAACGAGAAGAAGCGTAATGTGCATGAGATGGCCTCAAGCAGCGTTGCTAGCGTAAAAAATAAGGAAGCGTTTAGGCGGGCAAAGAACGTCCTCATGTATGTCATCATGTGTGTGTTATACGCATACATACAGCATGCACATAAGATTCATTGGCGGAATTCTCTACCATTTACTTCCTCTGTCTTCACGGTCGGTCTATCTCCTGTTTTTTTTATATTTTGTAACAGCCTGTTGGGGTCTTTCGACATCCGAACGGGGCGGTTGAACAGACGAAGAGGGTCCGGTGCATCATCAAGTAATATTTCGTTGCTTTTTTTTACTTTTCTTGCTGAGAGGAGGGGCTCAAGCGTGCCGTCTAATGTAGCACTGCAAAGAATCCGCCAGGCCGCTGTATGTGTAGTGAGTGGTTCAAGGCATCACCGTCATCCACGTAGTACTAGATATAGGGGGGGAGGGCAATGAGCCGCGGGTGATGACTCTATAACTTGCAGTAGTCTGTCCAAGTCTATCTGCGATGCTGTGCAAGGTGCGAGGCACGCTAAATAGGGAAGATATTTTTTTGCCAACTTTGGAAAATTAGGAAGGAACGATTGGCCATCGGTAATCGGTCCTGTAGGAACGACGCGCCGTCCTCTCGAGGACGCGTGGTCAA